CTTAGAGTGGGTATTAAAAATAATGCATGTAATTTTCATTCAAATTATATTTCTACATATTTCTTATGTAAAAAATTTTCGTCTATTCTAAATTATTGCAAATTACTTTACTCAAAAAGGGTAGTGAATGCTTGAAAATCAAAGATTTGCACACGCCGAAAATGTTAAATATATATGGCTATTTATGCATATGCTTGCAAAAAGCATGTATCTGCCTTTAACAAAATACATAAATAGAAATGAAGGATTTATTCATGCATAAACTCCTGTGAAAGTTACTTTGAAGAAATCTAGTTATTAAATATATCTAGATTTATAATGAATGATTATAAATATTATTTAAATATATCGTAAACTTAACATTTAATTGTAAACATAAACTGAAATTGCGTTGACAAATATGTTTATAAAACTATTTAAGCAAGAATTGTTCGTTCTATAAAGCATTCTGTTAACACTAGAATTACCGCATTTCTTGCATACCTAGAACTACAGGAGTGGGTCTTAGCTGACCCATGGACTTCAGTGATGTTATTTTTAATTTGTATGGGAAATACATACAGAAAATAAAGTGTTTCATAACTAATGCAAGGATTTTGCAATGGTTTATAAAATTTAGCTTCTAGAATGTTATATAATATGAAATTTAGTTAATAGCACCATCAAAGAAAATTAAAAATTTTTAATTTCAGAATGGATGCTTTAAGATTTTGGCAGCCTGTATAAAATGAAATGCAAGAAATTTTTTTAAATAACATACATTTTAATTAATTTAAAATTCATAATGTTCCTTCTGATTAATAAAATCACAATGAAAATTAAATATCCATGACACATTATACTTCTTTCTCTGGAAACATTTCACACAGAATATTATAGTCTTTGTTTCTTTTGCTGTGCATAATCCACACAGAATATTACAGTCTTTGTTTCTTTTGCTGTGCATAATCCACACAGAAATTTTGAACATTTGTCACAAACAGTATTAGTTTTATTGTTTTTGCATTGCTTTATCTGGCAACGTTTTCGTTTGCTCGGATAATCTATGGATGGATAACTTCTGGCTCTTTTGCAATGCATTTCTCTCTTAGCTCCAATATAGTCTCTTCTGCTCAGATTAAAACCTGTTTAAAAAACTGCCCATGCATTGATCTCCACTAGATCTAAAATATTGAAAAATACATGCATCAGCCAACGCCTTGAGATGCAGATTTCACGGAATATTTCTTTGCCATCTGATCTATGTCAACTCCAAATTTTGTGGAAGTATAGAAATTTATTATTTCAGGATTTTTCTTCTCGTTGTGAGTAACTTCTAATGAAGAATGCAATGTGCTGAGAGAAGAACTACATGATGAAGCAAGAATAGTGGTATTCTGTATCATGAAGGTAGTTGGATTTAATACTTTTTTTCAAGGAATTTGGAATGATCACTCTATTGATTGTTCCAACATGGCTCAAACTATTTTAGGTTTTCTACAAGCTTTAGAGATGTAAAAACACTATCACTTCTTATATTTCGTCCTGTCTTGAGGTAAGGCTTTACTAACCGAAAAGCAGCATTTTTGCCAACAGTTAGATAATTTGATTTGGAATCATCCTTTCCTAAATATGGAATTGCATTGATAATGTATTTTGAGCTCACATCTACAGCCACCAAAATTTGATGCCAAATTTATCTGGTTTATTTGGTTTGTATTGCAAAATTCTACAGCATGTCTTTGATAGAAAAAGCCGCTCATCTACAGTAATGTTTTCTCCTGGTTTCTAAAACATAAATAAAACAGTTTCCTATGCAAATATTCCAAATGTTATATTACTGCAAATTTATCATCTTTCAATCTATCTATCTAATCCTGAAATTTTTAAGTCAAAATACATACGTTGCATGATTTCTAAAAATATGTTTCCTTCTCTTTGTTGTGACTGCAGGTCTTAGACCAAAGGCTAGTGATAGAGACCCCTTTTGCAGCTAAAGTTCCTCAGACATATAATATTGCAATAAAAGAATGTAATTCATCACAAAATGTGTTCCAAGCTTCATTATTTGGTTTTGATCTTGCTTCCACTTCTGAACATTTCTTTATGGTATTCAAAATTTTGTCATTTATGAAAAGTCTTTAGGAAATTTAGGACTGTTATCAGCAATATTTCTTTCGGAATATGGTGTAGGTCCCGGATTTTCTTTTAGAATATTTTGAATAGAGAAAAATTTAACGCTGATGATGTATTTTCCATATAGTTCTAGCTTTTCCTTCTTCCAAGTCACTTTGAAGGGGTGATTGCTTTTCTTTATTATTTTCTTAACTCTTTCCACTCCTTAATATATATATATATATATATTTTACTAACCAGCAACTCTTTAATTTATTTACCAAATAGATAAAAAAAGAGGGTCCAAATAAAAGGTTGTATTGCAACAGCAAATATTTTTTCATTTATATTAAGTAGTAGGATAGTAAATAAGGTTGATCTTTACATTATGGTAACTTGGCGATTTTTTGGTGAAAATTTGGCGACCAACTCTCCTACAGCAACCCTCTATTTTTTTTTCCACGCCGCCATTTTGTCTTCACGAAGTAAAGACATGTTTCTTTTCTTTTTATCTACTGAACACTTCTTCCAACAATCTACTAGCCGAATTACACTTACGCTAGAAATTTTATAAAAAAAACATCCCAGAATTGCACAAAAATGGCATTGCGCACACTCTTCACTATATCCATGTACACTGCTTTTTTTCATAAATTAGAAAATTTCACGAAAATACATGACAATTTTCTCAATCTTTAAACCCGGTAAAGAACAAATCTGAAATTACCTGATCGCGAAAAAGTATTTACCCTTTCCAAATATGAACATTTCCACATATAAATAAATAAAATATCCAAAAAACTTTTACCTCTAAATCATCTATTACATATACACGTCACCAACGAATTCATACCGCAAGCATTACAAATACGTAGTATCAAAAATTTAAAATTATTTCCATGCCGTTTACTGCAACTAAACGTATACCAAATTCCTACAAACATAAATTCACAAAATAACTATCATTTAATAAAAAATAAATTCAAAAAACACTACTTAAAATATAAATGAGCACATACATTAAAATTAATACTACATAAATGCCCATTTCGAATTCACTTTACATAGGGCCATGGGATCCAAAAATTAATCAACACTGTTTCACACAACACACTATGAAGCTAAATACAAAATGCTAAACGCAATAAAAATTTTCCAGATTTTTCCGATTTCCCCCTTTTTCCGATTAACCGTAATTCGTCCATTAATATCATGACATATCCATGATCTCTCATTTCCCCTCACACAAAATAATGCGTAATCGGAAAATGAGTACTGCTCATTATTACCAAAAGTCCCAGGTAGTAACCTTTATCGCCTCCCAAAATGTCGCCAAACTACCAGTTACCATATTGTAAAGATCAACCGTAAATAAATATAAATTTCTGGATTTAACTAATTTATTTACCTTAATTATTTATAATTTTTCAAAGTATATTTTTTAAAACATTCTCCTATATAAAAGACGGGTTTCCTATCACAAGTATCACAATAGAATGTTGTGTTCTTTTCTCCCTCGCTTTGACCTTTTCAGTTGGAAACATACCATACAGTCTTGTGTTTTTTATGAAAAAAAATAAAATGAGTCTTCCCATCTAAACATTGGATAGTATCATCTGTGGACAATCGGCCGGTGTTTTTTGTCTAGAAGCACGAAAGTCTTGAGACTTATAATATACTTTTATAGATTCATCAATAAATTTTCTCTAAATGATTTCTAAAAATTTCTGTGTGACATCTTTTTGATACTTTCCTTTGTAGCATATTCATTGACTAAAATGTATAAGTGCACAATGGAAGTTTCCAATCCCCAGAAAAATAACTTTTGTGACAATTTCAACGTCTTCCTCAGAAAACAATATTATGTAGCATACTGGTCGGTGAAGTCTACTGCACCCATATTTTTATTATAATCTAATATGATAGTCGGTTTGTTTATTTTTTCACTAGCATTTTCAGTCGTATTTGATAATTTTCTGGCAGGTTGTGAAATAGAAGATTGTTTTGTACTAAACATTGTGACCATGCTTTTGTCATGTCTTTTCTTTTCTGTAACCAATTTTATGCCCAACAGCTAATATTTTTTTTTTATAATTATTTGTTCTGGCAGTCCTTTTCGATTGGTCATAAATGTTCCAGTAAGAATGCAGTTGGATTTCAGAAGTTCTGCTCCTAAAGTGGAGTTCGTATAAAATCTCAGTAAAAATATGATACCCTTTACCTTCAGGAATCGAATTTTGTAAATTTCGATAGAGTTGCATCACAATTTTGCTAGTGAAATTAAGATCTGGTATAATTAAGCCATCTGTTGTTATTTTACCATAATATGGAACAAATGTATATAAATAATTTGTCTTAGCATCTGCTAAAACATAAACTCGAAGTCCCCCCTTCTTTTTTTAAGGGTTAGATGTGAGAAAGTTTATTTTCCCCTTGAACGAGAATGTAGATTCATCAATTGCCAAATTTTCATGAGGTATATAATTTTCCATAAATTTTTGGTTTAGGTAATCCAGAAAGTTGCTCTCTCTTTCTATCCTTGTTCCCATCTTTTGAGTGTTTGGTCTTCTAAATTTCTTCTTCTTTTTACAATAATTTCTTCATCAGAATTGGTCTCGGTTTGAAAAGGAACCGAAAACAATAGCTCAGATGCTTTTGTAAAACTTATATCATCTTCCAATAATTCAAGTTCATTATCTACTTGAGTCATACATCCATCATCACTACTTTCATATTCATTGTTGAATGATTGTCTTCTCTTGATTCGAGGCATCTTTATTTTTATACTTAAGCACATAAAAAATAAATAAATATAACAGTTCAGTTATTATTATTTTAATTAAAACATAGGTTTTTATGTAAATAAAATATCAAAGACTACAAAAAATGCGGGTTTTTTTCTAAAGCATACTGTCTGTCTATGGGAAGAACAGCTTCTACCACAGTGTCTGGCGGGCGGTGTCACTATGGAATGCAGTTTGGAGATTGCAACTGTACCTGTTTCTTACCCGAGGGGACAATCTCGCTACGATTCAGCGTATGACAAGCAACAGGAGAGTTGAGGTTGTGGAGAGAGATTGTTTCAAGAGAGCTTAGACAAATTCCTCACTTAGTGTGTACGGGAGTTTGAAATTATCCTCTGCATGTTCAACGAGCTGACTTTTCCAAGATAGAAGACCGTATGTCCACTGGGAATACTGGAGGTGAATTGTCCTACTTGGAGTATTTTGTCGTGCTAGGAGATTTAGCATGGACTAATCTTTCCGAGCACAGTACATTTGTAACCCTGTAGAAGTATTATTAAGTGTTATCTACATACCAGATTGATGTAATCCTAACATCTTGCATTTATATTTTTATTAAAATTCTTGCTATTGTTTTATAACTTGAGTTGAGTTATTTCAACCCTGAAATACAACAGAGGCTTTGGGTAGCGTGTTGGACAACTACACCACACTACAAATGACTCTTTTGATCCTAATGTAAAAATAATACTAAAGAGAATTTTAAATGCTATTGGTCAAATGTAATAAATTTAATCTTTATTCACATAGTATAAAATATTTGAAAGGGGGGGAAAAAACAGTTTTAAACATTTTCAATTATTTTAGGAATTACCATGTATAATGTCGAGTCTAGCTCAACAAAGGAGTTGGTGTAAGAAATATGTCAAGCCACACTCGACATATGTTAAAAATATACTAAAAAGAATTTAAAATTATCTAACTTGGTCAAACATAATAAATTTAGTCTTTATTTACATATTACAAAATATTGAAAGAAAAAAATAGTTTTAAACATTTAAAATTATTTTAGGAATTACAATGTATAATGACCAGTCTAGCTCAACAAAGGAGTTAGTGTAAGAAATACAATGTTGAGCCACACTCGATATAGGAGTCCTAAGGGTAACACTTTTACAATTCTTTGTTGTTTTATGAACTCCTAAACTGTATTTACTTAGAATATTTTCATTCAGCTAGCTATTATTTGAAGTGGATTTGGAAGATGAAATTATATCCCCAATAGTTCTTTTGTTATTTATAACAAAATTTTCATCATCATCAGATGCATTTTCGTCGCAAGAATTATTTTCTGAAGTGTCATTTAGCAATTTCAATCGCATTTTACCGATATCGTGTTTTACTGTGGCCAGAAGACTGCACGGTGGTGGTCTGTTTGCACGACGCCCTGTACTGGCCCATCGGAGAAGGCGTTCTCTGTGGTGCATGGAACACCGGAATTGGAGAGACAATGAATGGGGACGAGTACTCTTTACAGATGAGAGCAGATTCAGTCTGAGTAGCGATTCTCATCGCATACTCATCTGGAGAGAGCGGGGAAGCCGCAATCATCTCTCGAAACATCATTGAAAGGGACAGGTATGGATGTGGTCGGTGTGTTCTCGTTTGGGGAGGCATCATGCTTGGTAGTCGTACAGACCTTCACATCTTCGACGCAGGTTCAGTCAACGGGACCCGTTATTATAACGAGATTCTTCTTCCATATGTGCGTCTTTTTAGAGGCGCTATGGGTCCGCAGTTCCTTTTCATAGGCGACAATGCACCATGTCATCGCACAGTAGCTGCCGAACAGCTCTTAGAGAGTGAGGATATTGAACGTATGGATTGGCAGACATGATCTCCGGATCTCAATCCCATCGATCATGTATGGGATTTTCTAGGCAGACGTTTGGCAGCTCGTACCTTACCACCAGTAACGATTCCGGAGCTTCGATTGGCGCTCCAAGATGAATGGGCAGCAATGCCTCAACAACTCATTGACACCCTCATTCTCAGCATGGACAAACGCTGTGAAACCTGCCTAGCAGTCAGGGGAGATCATATCCCTTATTAAAGACCGGATGTTTCTTGCTGGACACCCATCACAGGGATGTTTCGGCCTTCAGTCGCATTGCGCTCCATGCTACTTTTTCAATAAAGCTTCTTTTTATCCCTCTGATTTCTCTTTTAGTAAGTGTTGCTTACATTACTCATGTCCTTACGTATTGGGGATCTTACGGTATTAAATGTGTTGATTTGCAAAGCTTTTGTACAAAGTTATATTGAAAAAACCGTCTCATCCTTAATTTTGCACACCAGTGTATATCACTTTTTATTCATCCATTAACAATTGCAATTGAAAGTGTAAAGACTGATTATCAATTGCAATTATGTGACCTACAATCAGAGCCCTTTTACAAACGCAGAACAGAGTCTGGAATAGATTTTTTTTAAGCTCCTTGATGCGAGCGTTTCCCCAAATTAACCAATCTTGGCTTAAAAATGGGTTTGATGATGGGCAGTATACCTATCTTTGTGAAAGTGTGTATTCTTCACGATGAATTTTATAAAATCTAAATACATGTTCAAAAGTCGTTAGCATTCGTAACACCCATAAATTCCGGAATGATCTATAATCCGGACCTCAAAGCTACAAATTTTCTGCGCATGCGTCAAGTTAACACATGCGTGTAAGACCTTTACGGCTGCGAATATGCGTGTGCGCAAGCCCAAAAAATACATTTACGCATGCGCGTTTACTATATAACGGACGTTATATGCTAAGCTAAAATTATCTGATTCAGTTAATGTTGCAGATTGCGTTGTTCCTTAATCTTCGAATTGGATCCGGCTTATTATTTTTTGCAGACTGTTAGAGCAATTTTATAAAAGTAAGCTTGAACTTTCAATTATGTCAAATAGAATTTCCGATATATATTTACTAATATGTAAAGGATCTACAAAGCGAAAGTATGTTTCGAAGTTCATTAAACAAAAAGTGGAATTGCTGCAAAAAATGGACAAAGGCATATCCTTTGTTTATCTAACCATTCGGAAAATCTGTTTATCAATTTCACGCTGCTCTGCGGCGGGGGGGGACGCCACGATGAATTGGAAGTTGATGTATCAGCACTATCCTTATCTTCAGGGCAGATGTTTTTATTTATTTGGCTTATAATTCCTTACTAAATGTAGTATTTCATCTCGATGTACTCCGTCTTTGATATGATTTAAATCAAATTCCTCGTCATTATAATTTGCTTCCGATAGCGAAGAAAGTAAAGTAAACAAATAAATATCAAGCTTTTTTTTTTTTTTTTTTGTAAATTTTGATACCCTTTAGATCATAATTGTTCTTATTACATAAAATTTGGTTTCATATTTTTAATTTTATAATTTCTGCACGCCATCTTACCAGATTTAAACTGATGATCTATAATCCGGAATCGCTGAAGTCCCGACGAGTCCGGATTAACGACTTTTGACTGTATAGATCTTCACTGTTAGACAACTCATTTACTCATGCACTGCGTCTGGCAACAACTAATGTTAATGTTGATATTTAAAGGATTGTAAAGGATAAATTAATGAAGCATTTGTATGGGATTAAAATAAAAATATCCAAAATTCCAAATTCCAAAGAAGACCTTTCTCTTTCGAAAACCTGAGGGTTAATATCTATACTACAGGTCAACCTAAGTTGAG